GATGGCTGCTAAATGTGTGCCTGTGCGTGTATAATGTATGCCCCTCGGAGAACAGTGCAAAGCCATGAGCTCCACTTCTTGCCTTAGATACTAGAAAGCTTAAAACTAAATTTTTAATAGCCTTTGAGGTTTTTGCCATTTCATGGTTTTTTCTTTCTATTTCTAAGTCATATATGCATTACCTCAAGTCTTTTTGGAAATACACAGATTTTTTTTTTTCATGTTGAATCTAGTGGTTACCTGTCAGTGATTCCAGAAGTTTGTTGACTTTCTGCGTCCCTCAGTGGAAATAACTTACAAGTTCTTTGGCATATTAAGCTCATATATATCATAATTCAGTTTGAGATTATATCCAGATTCTTATATTTCAAAATACTCAAATTTTATGATGAAGAAACTGCCAGGTTACCCTCAGTTCCTCCAACTTGTATTTCCTTTTCTTCCTGAATAGAGAGAGGTAGTTGATGAGACTTGCATAAAGCACATCTTTATTGATTTTCTGCCCTAAATATTAAAATTCTCTGTTTCTTAATGCAGATGTGGAATTAGAAGAAGCGATTAGAAGAAGTCTTGAGGAAATGTAATTAAAGATATTACCACACAGCATCAAGTGGCCTTGAAGAGACTCAGGATAATGAAGTCTTGAGTTTGTTTTCTAAAGGAGACCAGAAATCTGCTGGTGCACATGTATTTGAAAACATGCTTTTTTTGCTTTCATATGTTCAAAATCTGATACTGCTCTGTATTTTTGTGCTATTTTGCAAAAATGTATAGAGGAATAGAATACATGTTAATGCAGATACAGACCATGTGTTCCAATACTGGTATCACTGTTTCCCAGTTAATTTTGAATTCATATATTTAGGTTTAAAGAATTAAAAAAAAAAGAAGGAGCAGCAGCTCTTGACTATTGTTTATATGTTTCCCAAATAAAATTGGTTCTTTAATTTTATTTATACTGTACAGATGATTCTAGTTTATTTTTTTAGGAGTGAAAATGAATATAAATAAAGCTGTCATAGTTCACTTTTTCTGTAAATTCAACTTCTGATGTGGCACTAATGTATCATACCTTTGAGAATTTTGTATATGGTTATTGAAAGGGAGCAATGGAAACTGATCATGGAAACAGATTAAAAATTTTATCAGCAGTGTTCTTTGTGGGTTTCACTCAGAGGTATATCCCTGCTTTAATTAGAGCAGCACATGGCTGGAATTAAAAAAAAACCCTAATTTCTTTGAAAGTATTAAAAAGAAACTTTTTCCATTCCTTTTCCCTGCTTAGACTTTTATGTGACTTCTATTATCTGCTGTTTAAAGGGAAGGATGTCAAAATATTTGCATAGAATTAAACTTACTTTTAATAATATTAGCCCTTTATATATATATATTTGTGTAAACATAGTATTCTTCAGAAAATAATATTGAAGTTCTACTCAGGAGTAATCTCCCTTAACCCTTTAAATTTTTAATTTCATATGGAAATATCTTCATTATACTTATTCATTGTCAGTTTCCTACAGATGATATTACATATTTAATTTTTAAATGTTGAGACCACATTGTGAATAATAAAAAATATTATATAATTAGAAGACTGAGAAGGGGCTTGTCATACTATCTTTGTGTAGATGCTTCATGTTATTTGACCAGAAATTTTGTGTAGTAATTACTTACCAAACTTAAAATTTTCTGTAAATACAAATTTTTCTTTAAGACAAAAAAAAATGATAGAACTTTGGTCTTTCTCTGCAACTAGATAATTTAGTGTGTAAATAGTATTACTCTTTTTTTTATTATATAGTCTTTTCAATCCACATTGGAAACCAATTTGTGTTTTTTATTTCTTAAGATGTTACTTCCTTCCCACCTGCTTGCCTCTATTTTAAAGCAGACATCGTAGTTTGAGATTGTACTCGTCATTTTTCCGACAGGACCATATTGTACTTCTGTTTGTTAAAGTAGTCAAGCAAGGTTTCAGGAGTCACGGAGCAGGACCTTAAGGACACCCGCAGGTGCTTGATCATTAGTGAGGAGTGGAAAGGATCTTCCAGAAGGAGGAGCAGTCAAACAGATGTGGGGAGGAGGAGACAGTGCCACACCAGGCTGCGATGCTTCGGGATGTCCTGTGAAGAAGCTTTTGTGGTGTGTGGTCGAGGGTAGCTTTCCATGGGGCAGGAAAGGGGTATTTCATCATGACCCTTAAAGTAAGGTAATTGGGTTGTTTAATGTTTTAATTAATCATTGTCACTGATTGTATTTTTACTCATTAAGCAATTAAAAATCACTTTAAATTACTTCATAATTTGAACTTAATTTAGACACAAGGAGGAGAGGTGGATAGTACATGGATAAAGTTATGTGGATTATTATCAAGAGTAAATGTTTCTAACATTGACAGTGATGCTTATCTTTTCATTTTTATTCGTTTTTCATTTTACTGTGATCCCTTGTTGGTTTTTTTTTCTTTTAAAAAGTTGTTATTGTGATCCCTTATTTTTATACCTGAATAACAGCTTTCCCCAAAGGGATGATGGCTAGCATAACGTATATTCTAAAAAGGATATATAGATAATGTATTGATAGCAACTGGTCAGTGGTATCACTGATTGTCGTAAATAAAAGTTCCTCAATAAAATAAAATTCCTCCTTTTTCTTTTTTTTGTTTTGTTTTGTTTTGTTTTGTTTTGATCCTCGGCCTCACACCTGCCCAGCCAGCCCTTTGTTCCTGCTGCTTACTCTCCCAAGACCTGGCTCCGAACCCTGACCTCTCTCGAGTGCAAGACGCAGGGACTTGTCCTGCCCTTGGACAAGTGCACTGGAATCCTCAACAGGTTGGGCCTCAACTTAAACAGCTTGTTTCTCATAATTTTTTCTTTTAAATCACTCATTTATTCATTCACAAAGTATTTATTGAATCCTTACCACATGCCAGCACTTGAGACACACCAGTGAGCAAAACAAAGCCCGCACCCTCTGTGGCGCCCACCCTGGGGGAGGGGGGGTTGGACGAAGCAACGAGGTGGTGCATGAAGACGGACGGGAAAGATGGAGTGGGGCGGGGTGCTGGCTAGCTGTAGTGGGAAGGCTCCTGACAAGGTGAACTTGAGCAGAGACTTGAAGGTAAGGAGTGAGCCAGGCAGGTCTGTATGGGGAGGACTTGTAGGCAGAGGGTGAACAGGTCTGGAAGTGAGCTTGGTGACCCGTGGGGAAGCCAGCCGGCTAGTGCCCGATGAGCTGGAAGAGAATAGGAGGTGCAGTTCTTTTGAGAACTTTTCTAAGGTTGGCTCTCACTCTGAAATGAGCCACCGAGGGTTTCTGAGAATACGTGGTGTGACCTGCCTTTAGAAGGACTGCTGTAGGGTTAGAGCAGAGCCCGGAGGACCAGGTAGGAGGCACTGCAGTAACCGGGGGAGAACGGATGGTGGAGTGAGATTGACGACCGTGCAGGCCGGAGACAAGATGGGTGTGTTCTGAAGGTGGAGCTGATGATATTTACATGTGGGTTCTGGGATACCAGAGGAATAGAGTCCAGGTTAATTCTAAAGTCGCCATAGATTTTCAAAACGCTCGCAAAATGTCTAAGGATCCCAAGTTTGTGTAACATGACAGAACATTTAATGAGGCCAAATCCCCTACGCCAATAGTTTATTAGTGTTTAGACTGAGTTCAGAGGAATTCGGCTCCAGCCTTAAGGGCCTCCTCTCTGCTCAAGTACTTAAATGGCTTTGATCTCAGATGAAAGGCTGTGCTCCAGCTCTGAACTGCTGTTAC